TGCAGCAAACAGCAACTGCAGTGATAGCCCACAGGTCTATACATACTTACAGTATCAGTCAAATGGTAAAACTAACAGCATATACACATATATATAAAGCAATGCAATAAAGAAACTAAAATAATTACTACCTGATGAGCAAAAAGCCACAGAAAGGCATAGGTGGACTTTTAATGAGGAAATAGAAACAAACATGAGATGGGACCCATCTGGATCTCTTCTTTTAGTGTCATTTAAGTATGAAAAAAACCATTGCCATGCTCCAGCCAGAACCTTACAGTGTTGTTACTTAGAAACGGCAAGGAGCTTACGAAGAAATATTTCAACACATGGCAATATTCGAATCCCCTTTGGAAAGTGGGAAATAAACAGCATAACAACATGGTGGCAACCAAAAATAACAGCTGTAAAAAAGCTGTCAGATGCTGCCAAGAGAGGAGGGGTGAAGAAAAGCTCTGAATGACAACAGTTGCTCCAAGTGAACAAAGGAGAGCTTCCCAGGAGCGACCACCTACAGTATGATCTATATCCATACAGAGGGTTTGTGTGTGTTCCTAAGGCAACTCCAGCAACCTCTGCAATAGTCAGGAACCACCACCGAAGCTTCCTTCCTGCTTCACACCTTCATTCTACTCTACTGTGCAAAGGATTTTCACAAATACCTGTCAACTTGCATTACTTAAAACCATTTCCCTCTTACAAGACCACTTACAGAGTCAAGATCAAAAAATGGGAAATGGATTTTAAGGAAAGCACAGTTTTTAAGCACAGTTCTCAGTTTATGTTCCCAAACACCCAGTTTTCCCATTCCATTCTCCAGTTGCTTCAGTATCACCAAGTGACTTTGCATCATAAATAAATAATTCCCTGTACTCAAGAGAACAGCTGACTGAAGAGTATCTCAGCGTATCAATCTTTCAGTGACCACTGGAATAATGAGGTCTGTTTAATTCAGTGCAGTTATTTGCATTATTCACAAGAAATCTTGGAGGATATTCTTTGTTCTGAATAGAAGACACTACTAAAACCATAGCAGTAAGCAGGTTTGTGTCTCAAACCAGAAAAGACCTGGCAGCCAGCTTCTAGTTTAACAACATCCACGTTGTTTGGGCAGAAAGAATCAGAACATCTTGCTGCTCAGATGAAACAAGAGCCCTGCATGAGGCACAGCACACCTGCACTTCAGCCATGCACAACTACTGAGAAACACCCACGTTGGGCTACACTGCCCTGCTTAACAGAAATCCCTTAGGTGAAACCCAAAAAGAAGTCATGTCCCATGCTGTTCTGTCAACAGACAGCACTGCTGGGAAGCCACTTCCATCTGCTAAGCTCTTCCACGTGCTGGGCTGCTGCTGTGCTCATGCCAAGGCACCAGGTGTGCAGCACAGGGCTGCACCGTGGAGCACAGATACTGAGCCAGAATGTATCTTCCATCATGAGAACTCACCAGGTTACAGCCAGCTCCTCTGGAGAGACAGCAAATAAACGGAGAGGCAGGCTGAAGGAACAAGTGTCATATTTGAACCTGGCCTCATTCCTTAGTATCATCAGATTGCCCGTTTAGTGCAGCCTTTTCAATGCCACAAGGATTCAGACTGGAAGCGCTAGAAAGCTTTGCTTTCCCTTTGCAAACTGACTTGGCTACAGCATTTATAGGCTTTGCCTTGAAGGCTGCTCAGCCCCAACACTGCAGGGCCAGCAGGCAGCTCATCTGTGCTCTGCAATGCACACAACCAAGATCTCACTTCAGCCTGTAAATACCCAACATCAGGCTGAGGTTCAAAGGAGACCTGTGCAAATGCTTCATTCCTTCGTGCTTGGCTTACCTCAAACAGGAAGTTTACAGCAAAAGGGAAGAACACAACTTTGTATTTTTCCAACCATGTGCTCATCTCCGATACATTGGAAAAAAAAAAACTGATCCAGGAAAAAAAACAAAAGCAACCAACCATGCTGCTACAGGTGCCTACTATCAAAAAGCACAGCAGCCAACATCGGATCTATGGCAAAACAAGCCACCTGCTTGCTCAGTAGTCTCACAGATTTACCACCTGCAAATACCTAAAAAGCATCCAAGCTCCTGAAAAAGACCTCAGTGCTGCTTTAAAACCCAGAGATAACATTTGTGAATTCTTACCAAAAAAAAATAAAATCTGAAGAGCATCACCAGAAGAAAAACACAGATCCTGTGCTCTTCTGAAATGCCTCACAGTACAGTCTGAACCTGTTTTGCCATCATCCCTCCCTCCTCCAGAAAAAAAGTGATTCCAGCTCAAGCTTGCAAGAGTATATCTAGGTATGAGGGTAGAGTTGATACATGTAGCAGGCACAGCTGTGTTTGTAAGGAGAGCTTTTCTTCACGGTTCCTATGAATCCACACCACAGGGCGGAAGATGGGCATTCTGTCTTCATCCTAAAATATGGATTAATCTGAATGCAATGTATGCTTCCTTCGAGCAGTCAGGGCTTCCCCCTTCCAGTCATGCTTTTACAAACAGGAAATGAGATGAAAGAATTTTGTCCAACAGATATCATCATAAATTACTTTATTTAAGGTCCCAAACGCAAAGGATTTTATCCAGTTCACCTGTGTGTGTACGTTTGCACGTAACATGCAGTCTAACAAGTGGGAGACAAAACTAAGCACTTGACAGCACCTTTTTCAAGAGCTACAACTGCAAGGAAATAAGTGTTTTAGGCAAACTTTTAAGGCATTTTATTTTTATTTTTACTTGAAGCAGCACCACTTAACATTTAATGAATACGTTTAAAAATAAAATAAAACAAAATTACTTCAATAGATAACTAAAGACCAAGTTTCAAACTAAAGCAAATCAGACCTGTGGAAGGAAAGCGTATTGGTGAAGTTCAGTACTCCCAGACATCCTGTTGTTTGAGTTGTTTGGCACACACTGCCTCCTCCACAAAAATGAAATGCCCCTTCCCTTCCTTTTAAAATGACTGTAATCAAAGTGCCTTTAATTTACTTCCTAAGGAGGAAATCTCAAATCAAGCCATTCTTCAGTGAAAGATACGAAGGCATTCAAATTCTGAAAACATAAAGATGTATTCTTCCTGCACAAACAGTGCTTTAAAGGTCAGTGAAAAGCTGAAGATAAAAACCAGAGATGAGGTAAAATGCTTGAAACGTGATCCTGGGACTGCAATGATCCCACAACAGAGCACTGCTCTGCCAGGTGGGGGTAAAACTGTAAGCAGCCCTTGCAGGAGGTACACAGAATCACAAAGCTCATCTTCCTTCACCTCATCTGTGTAGAACAGCAGAAAAAGCGTGGTGGTGCTGTGCTACAAACAGAAAGGGCAGGGAACGAGCCTTAATGACACACATTCAGCAGAACAAGTGCTGATGGAATCCTGTCTGCTACCAACAGTGACAGTCAGCACTGTGCTACCTCTGATATGCCCGAATACTCATTCTAAAGAGCCATACAGCTTTAAACCCTTTCTATACTCACGCTGCGGTAGCTGGATAATTAAGTCATTAAAGCCAGTTTCTGTTACAGCGTAACAGATGATAAATTAAAAACAAAGAAAAATAGTTGCAAAATATTTTCATCCTCTCGAGCAGATGGACTGCTAACGCTTCCAAAATCCCAACGCCATCTTTCACTCTCTTAACTAAAAAGTCTTCCTCCCTAGCACGTAGTACTGAAAACTGAACTACTGCCAAGGAGCACTGAATGCACAGAGTCCAGTTTCAGCACGGCGTATTTGTTATTCTGGTCAGTTCCCACAGACAGCCATTCACAGGTGCACAAACTCTCCCCACCCACATCAAGCCATTGTTTCAGGAGGCACTGCTGTGATATGAAAACAAGCAGGGGTGGTTTAGCCATACGTTAAGATCTTGGGTGAGCAGCCAAAACCCTACAGACAAATGGTACGTTTGCTCCTTGACATCAGTCAATAGGGTGCTATACCCAAGGTAACCTAACACGGAAGGAAAACAAGTAAAAAAAAAAAAAACAAAGGATCGTTTTACAACGAATGCTCCAAGCTACTACTTTACAAGATGTTACAAGCTGCTCCAATGGAAGCAATCCAGGCTGGATGTGGCTCTGGGCAGCCTGGTCTGCTGGTTGGTGACCCTGCACATAGCAGGGGGTTGGAACTGGATGAGCATTGTGGTGCTTTGCAACCCAGGCCATTCTAGGATAAGCAATCCCTCTGCTGCTATACCCCCTCCCAACTTGTTTCCCTGGGATTTATTTTTTTTTTGTCCCCAGAGAGCTCTAAAAATAAACCTATAAATAAACCATACCCACAGCAGGATAACAGCACGGCCTTCAGCGCAGTGCATAACTTCCCACAGCCCAAGGATTGCAGGACTCCTTAAAACACTCCCGTGGTTGTTGTCTGTTGTTTGTTTGTTTGTTTTACATTACAGATAAGGGCGAAGGGAAGAAAACACATGAAGGGTGTGCCACCCACTCCCGATCTGAGCGGCAGACCGGGTGCAGATGTGGAAAAGCTTTACTGTGCACAGTAACGCGGCCACAGGGGGTTCCGCTGCAGCCCCCTCAGCGTCAATTTGTCGCGATAGGGAAGGAGGAGGGGGGAGGGGCTGCGACAGCTCGGCCATACACCCATCCATCCCACGACCTCACGAAAGGGAAACGGGGAAGGCCGCTGCCGAGCGGAGGGGCCGCACACGCGGAGCCCCCAGGCCCGGAGTGAGGCGTCGCAGGGCGGGCAGAGCGCACGGCCCGGCTCCGGAGCCCCGCGGCCGCAGGAGGCGGTGGAGGAGGAGGTGAGGCCCCGGCCGCCCCCCCTCGCTCACTCACTCACTCGCTCCCCGCCTGCGAGCCCGCGGCCCCCCCGCCTCACGCCCCTCCCCGGAGCCGCCGCCTCGCGGCCCGGCTGCTCTGCCTGCGCTGTAAGGAACGGGAACGCTGAGAGAAGCGGGGCTCTACGCCCGGCCTGAGGCCCCCCGGGAGCTCGGCCCCAGCCGTCCGGCCGCGGGGCGCCGCGGTTACCGTGTGCGGTGCCGAATTCTCGTGGTGTTTGTCGGGCGGCTGCGATAATGGCGTCCTTCCTCGCGAGAGATCTCCGTCTCCTCAGCGCGCACGCGCCACCGCGCTGCGCCCGCTCGGCCCCCGCCCGCCTCGAGCGCCCGCGCAGGCGCACAGAAGACTCAGCCTCGCAACCGCCCTTCGCGGCCGCGCCGCTGGGAGAGACTATAACTCCCAGAGGGCAGCGCGCCCGCGCTTGGGCACCGCCCCCGTTGAGCAGGCCGGGACCTGTAGTACGACGGGCTGGAGCGGTGCACTCTGGGAGTTGCAGTCCGCGCACGGCAGCGCCGCGGCGCGCGTAGGCGCACACACCCATGTGATGTCCCCATCTCAGCCTCATGTCACTGCTGCTCTGTGGCACCACCCGGCCCTGTCAGTGCTCTGAGCTCCGTGAGGGGATTCCGGCGCTATCTCAGGGCTGTTCCAAATGGCAATGTCACTTCTCCTTTTTTCGTATTGCTTTTCTGAGCGAAGTAGCTGTGAGTGAGCACATTAAAGGCATCTCAGCGCAGTCACACTCTGCCTTCCTCTACTCCCTCCTATTAAATCCCTGATTAAACAGATCCTGAGCACACGTGTCACTGAAATGGGATGATCTGAATGTGAGCTGTCGCATTAAGGAGAAAAATGTCACCCTGCACAGAGAGCAAGTGGAAATGAATTAAAATAGCACTTCGGAGCGATTCCTCTGTTGCCTCCTCCCTGCTCCCGATGTGAGCACAGAATGGAGGAAGACTGCAAGCTCTTAAAGAAGAAAAGATCATTACGTTGTCACCAGATGCCATTTCTCAGCCCCAGCACAGCCGGCACTGGTTTTCACGCTTCAAACAAGAAGCTTAAATCTACTCTGCATTGTCACAGTATGTGATTGAATGCATTCTGATACACCAGACTTACGACCAGATGGTTTGGAGTCACTGCTGTAGCTGCTGGGTCAAAGTGCTGCTCTCAGGCCCCATAAACTCATGGTGTTCCATGTTGAGGTGCCTTCTGCATGACTTCTGTATCTGTGTGAACATAAACGGTCCAAGCCACAAAAGCTCCAGTTTCCTAAAGTGTTTCAGACCCCAGGGAAGCAGCAGTTCCTCCTGCTCAGCTGTCTGGGAGCTATGGGGAGAATCGGAACAGAATTTGTTTCGCCTTTCAAACAGGGAAATTTATGCTGATGAGGCACATGCACTGTACCTTTCTTTGGAAGTGATAGTACTCACTTCTTAAACCACCGCTTCCAGTGTTAAAGAGTCATTAGAAGCCTGGAAATTAACAATTGGTAATTACAAAAAGCCTTGCTTCTGCTTCCAGATTTGCAAACGCTCAGCTGAGTCCATGGATTTATTTAGTGTGTTCTTTTCTTTCACAAGCAGATTAGGAAGTTCAGAGGTTAAACTGCTTATAAACTGACTTTTCACATAGGATTATTTCATGCTTTGCTGCACAGAGTTGCCCTCTACCAGACTTGGCAAACCCAAGCAACCATTCTGCCCCTGCTAGAAAAACAATGGTAAAAATAAATACCAGTATGCAGTACCTGCTGTGCAGAGCTGCCAGTAAAATCCTTTGCTATCAAAACTTAAATCCATCCTAACAGCCCTCCTGTTTTCTCATCAGTGCATTCCCTCCCAGAGATTATTAACTCAGGTTCTGCTGAGGAGGTGAGATCCTGCTCCCCTCTGCAAAGCCAGTAAATCACTTTTCAGTTAAAACAACACATCAACATATTATTCACCTGCAGCCATCAAAGTAACAGAGGAAATTACAGCAGGATCCAGCTAATGTCTACATCTTTGATCAGAAATAGCAACACAATAAAAGTAATACAGCAACTTGGCACCTTCTCAGTGCTTAAATCAGGACCAATTTTGGTGCTTAGTCTTTATTTACAGCATGAACCACTTAACAAGGACAAACAGGTGCTTCCCGTGCTTCACAAAATCCCCTCAGCTTTATGAGCTTTCAAAAATGTGCTCACCTGAATGCAGTGATGTATTGAAATGCAGTGTGTGTCCTCTAAGCAAATGAGGGCTTTACTTTACCATGAGGTAAGAGATTGCTCATAAGCCAGCACCAGGAAGAAGCAGATGCACCGTTCTGTCCCATGTTTAACCCACTGTAACTTGTTCGAGTGCCTTTGTCACATCAGCTCCTATTCCAGGCACCCCCTCTTCCCATAAAAATGAATAAGAACATCATATTTTTTGCCTGGGGATCTGAAAGAACTGTATGGAGCTGAGGAGCAAATCATCATTCTTATTTTTTAATTTTATAGAAGAAAATACCTCTTGCTGCCCTGCTGGCTTATTCTCCCAAATGGAATAAGCTAGATATTTCCTCATTGTTTTAATTCCTCACCTTTTCATCCTTATTTTTCAGACTTTCTCTTCCACTTTACGTGTATGCTAAGTTTTTCTCCGTCTCATTATGAAAAATCATTTGGTTCCAGGAAATATCTGGCTTATTTTACCTTCTTATCAGCATTCACTTGCTTTTGTTTCCCAAGGAAGTTGCTGCTTTTAGACGTGTTTTGTGTAGATCAAAAACAGATTGGTATCTCGTTCATTGGTTTCTTTTTCTTTTCATTAGAAGAAAAACCTTACCATAGGGTCAGAGGTAAAAAATTAACACACTGTGCACACAATTTTGCAGCTGCATAAGCAGTAGGAAAACAAAGGTTGCCAAACAAAGCATTTGTTTAAACAAGTGACTGGCATTCATAATTACGTTCAGTGCTGAGCATGAGCGTGGAAACAGAGGCGAGAAGAGCACAAATGTGATCGGGGCAGAGATGTAACCCCAGAGCGTTTGAAATTGGAACTGGGTTATATGCTGTGCTATTAAACAAAAAAGTACTTGAAAATCTCCTGTTTATTAAGTCTCTGAGATGCTTTATTCATTTTCTCTATGTTGATTCTCATCACTGGAGAGGAACAGAAATGTCCTTGTGAGCACAGCATGCCCTCTCCTGTGACACGGTGGTACTTCAGGTGCTTTGAATTAATATACAGGAATTTGTATAAATTACACTTTTTTAAACCAATTAATACTGATGGCATTTGTAGACCTGCTGTAGTGTTTCTCCTTATTGATAGGAAACCCCTCTGCTGTTGAAGCTTGTAATCAGCCTTCCTCTTCCAACCACACATTTCTCATCACTGATCTTTAGATAGCATGTCTATTTTCAGTTATTTCTTTGATTTGATATTTATTTTTTACAAAACCCAGGTTGGGACTGGGAGGCTTTTACTGCTGAACCTACTTCAGCTAGCTCTGTGACTCTGGGCAAGACACTGATTTTTCCTGTTTCCTGATCTCACTTCTGTTCTAAGTACACCACACTTCACTTGCTGAAGATATTCCCAATTTTCATGAACGAGGAATGAAGAAAAGACCTTGAATGCCCAAAGCAGAGAGAAAAACAGTGTTGCACATTTAGTCACAGTTCAGGGTCTCCTAAGGACATTCGTGCTAAGAGGAGAAATTAGGTGAGAAGGGACAGGCTTGATCTCAGTGCTCTCTTCCTTATTTACATATTGCTCCATTTCCACGTATGCATCATGGAAAAAATAACAGGAATCTATTCCCTTTGTTAGAAATATGTAATTCTAAAATACTCTATTAGAACTTTGCCCTTCAGTGACCTTCCCAGCTGTGCCTGCTGCCCTTTTACCTGCTACACAGCTGACAGCTTTGCCCAGTATTTGCTAGCTTGCTAGCTTTGCTGCAGCCTGTGTTTATTTGGTCAGCTACCTTATCATCACCAGTCTTTTTTACTCCACTGGCATTATCAAAATGTTAAAGGGAAGCTCATCATTCATAATGTTGTTAGAGGATTTTTATCCTTTCCTTTAGACTGCAGGTTGCCTGAGAATCCTGTTTGTTTACTCTGTGGTCCTCAGCTCCATACAGTTCTTTCAGATCCCCAGGCAATGTTTCACAGCATCACTGTACCATTAATGTTATTATTCGAAGCCAGATGTGTCCACCTCTTATTCCTGGACCTGAATTTGTGTTAAAGTCTTTGCCACATAACCCCACTTTTTCAGCTGTGAGAGGTAAAACAAATGATGTAACTATTCCCTGCCACTCAGCACCTGTCAGAGCACACCTGGAATACTCTGCCAATGCGGAGTCCCACCATGCAAGAAAGAGAAAAACCGGAGGTTGTTACAGCTGGCTGGAAAGATCAGCCACATTAACAGCAGTTATGGCCAATTGTGGATGTGGAAGAAAAGCTTTCCTTAGGCTGAAGTAATGCGTGAGCCACAAGAAGCGTGTGCCAATCCACAAAGAAATGAGTGTTAAAGCCAACAGGGTAATGATCCGCTGCTGTGTGAATGCTACCTAGATGATATTTTTGGGTGCTCTGTTGAGGTTTCCCACAGACACCTCAGCAGCAATGCCAGTCTAAGTAACTTCCATTTGTTCTATACCGTCAGCTGTAATAAAACAATAACTAGCTGAGGAAAATGTTAATTATGTGATTGCTTTAATTATACCTTCCTAGCTCTGGTAAAATTGTCAGACTATTTCTTCTCTGAATTGTTAGGCTTGGCTTGCTGGTGTTGTAATTAAGCTAACATAGCATAGGAACACCTTTGCAAGCATAATGCCAGGAGAAACATGAAGCACTATAGGTGAAATAGCAGAGTGGGAAATGAAGGTTTTGTTTCCTTTATCTTCCCCGAAGTCTGAATTCCAAATGGTGCAGAGACAGCATGCTGGATGAAAAGATAAATATATCTTAATATTTCTCCTTTTGGCAGTGCAAAAAAAACAGGAATGGAAAGACTGAAACTCTAGCAGAACATCCTATGTGTGTTTTCTTTCACAATGTTCGTGTTCTCACTCACCTCTGATGATGCTCTGTCCTGTTCAGGTTCTGCACTTCAGCCAGAAGCACCACATTTCTCCCCACTGGCTTAGCCTCCATACTTACAATCCTGAAAGCAATAAGTTTTTGCTCCTGATAGCTGTGAATTGAGCACGGGACTTCACAGAAATAGCTGTAAATCAGAATGTTCAGAAGCTTATCTTTTGGGCGGGGGAAAAAAAAAGGAATGTTGATTCAGAATGATTTGAATAGCTTTTCAATGGAATCAAAAT